AAAAAAAAAAAAAAAAAAAAGAAAGAAAGAAAGGAAGAAATGATAGGATTTTTACTCTTGAGTAGGCGAATTACATTAAGAAATGTAATATACTGCAGTTTCTTGATTCACAAGCAGGCTTTTCTTTTTTTCTTCTCTTAAGATTTTTTTGCAGAGTGGACGTATGCTCACCAGAGAGAGACAGAGAGAGGGAAGATGAGAAATCATCTCCAGGGGGATGGCCACACGGTAATCGCTTCTCCTCCGCTCTCCTCTTAGGATTTTGGGCACACATGCAGCACCTAGTGTGTTCTTCAAGACTGTGGGTCCAGGTTTCAAACTGTGGTTGGCTCTGTGGGATCCAGCACCTTAACCACCATGTCACCTGCTGGCTCAACAAGTTTTGTTTGTTTGTTTGTTTGTTTTTCATTGCCAGAGAGCATGTGCACTTGCTGGAGAGAGACAGAGAGACGGGGGAGAGAGAGAAAGCTTCATTCATTGGGGCACAGTCTTGTTGCAATCCCTTCTCTTCCATTTCTCCATCCTGTCGAGATTTGGGACATGCACACATGCCTGGCATGTTTTTTCAAGCCGCTGGGGCTGGGATTTGAACTGTGATCAGTCATGTGGGATCCAGCCCCTAAGAAGGCTTTTGAAGAGCATTGTTCACTTGCTTGTATTGGACAATAGAGGATTCTGCAGAGTCAGGCTAACCTCCAGGATAACCAAATGTAGGCTACTTTGACATAAATAGGTTGAAGTAGTCTTCAACCGTTTCTCAGTGAAATTTGATGATGGTCAAATTCCATTCTATTTAAAAGCGTGAGCAGACACCAGCTAGGCACCAGTGACTACAAAGATAAACAAGGCATGGTCTCGTCCCTCAGGAAAAATAACAACAACAGTGGGATTGACACTTTACATGTTTTATTTCATTTGCTCTGCACAGAACTACTGTGAACGGAAGATATTATCTTCTTTTTATGACCGAGGGAAACTCAGGTTGACCACATTTAAATAACCTGTTCCAGATCACAGCTAGACATTGGCAGAGCTACTATCTGAACCCGTTTCTAGGTAATTCCGAAGGCTGTGATTATGACCAGTCTATTATACTTACTTTACATAATTATGTTATTGATGACTTAAAAGCCAGAGAGTTCATTTTTGCTCATCTTTAAAAAAAAAAAAGTTTATTTCTTTAATGAGAGGGAGACATAGATCCAGTTACTTCCGATGATCCAGTGAAATGTAATTTCAAGCATTGCTTTGAACTTCAATTTTTTTTTTAACTTTTACAATGTAGCCAGGGGGAACCAGTGGATACTGTAATGGCTATGTCGCTGGACTCCCACGTAGTCGACCACGATTTGAGTCCTGGACCCGGTGGCTTAAAACTCACACCGGGCACGTGTGTGTGCGTGCCCAAGATCCCGAGAGGAGAATGGAGGAGAAGGGATTGCCGTGTGGTCATTCCCCTGGGGGGGTGATTTATTGCTTTCTGTCTCTCTGTCTCTCTCTGTCTGTCTGGTGAGCGCGTGCGCCCTATAGCAAAAGAGTGAAAGAGACAGTGAGAGGGAAAGTAAGAAATAATCACCCTGCAGGAGGGATGGCCATGGCGCAACCTCTTCTTCCTTTCTCCTCCTGGGATTTTGGGCACATACACATACACCCAGCGTGATTTTGAAGCTGCCAGGTCTAGGACTCAGACTGTGGTTGGCCATGTGGGAATCCAGTGCCTCAAACACCACACTAATTGCCAGCACCAAGATTTTTTTTTAAAGGACTATTTATTTAAGTTTATTTATTTATTCCTTTATTTTAAATTTGACCAGACAGAGACACAAAGAGAGACAGAGACAGAGAGAGAGAAAGTGAGAAAGCAAACCACCAGGCCCAGGACTTGAACTGTGGTTGGCCATGTGGAAGTGTCCAGCACCTTAAGCACCATGCCACCTGGTCCCAAGATTTTATTTTTTAAGCTTTTTTTTTTTTTTTTTTTTGCAATAGGGTGCATGCACTCACCAGAGAGAGAGAGACAGAGTCAGACAAACATAGAAGGAAAATGGGAAATGACCCTACAAGGGAGATGGCCATACCACAATCCCTTCTCCTTCAGGCTCCTCTTGGGATTTGGGGCACACACACACATGTGCCCAGCGCGATTTTTAGTCTGCCGGATCTGGGACATGAACAGAGGAGTTAGCCATGTGGGATCCAGATCCTTAACCTCTATGCCACCTGCTCACCCCTCATTATTGATTTTTTTTTTAATTTTTAATTATTATTTTTTAAAATTTGTTATAGGGCACATGCACTCACCAAAGACAGAGACAGAGAGAAAGAAAGAGAAAGCAAGCAGCCAGGTCTGGGACTCAAACACCAGTTGGCCTCGTGGGAATCCAGCACCTTAACTGCCACGCCATCTGCTAGCCCTCATTATTGCTTTTTCATTTTAAACCAACATTGTATTCTGGGATAAGCCCCATTTAGTCGCAGTGTGTTATCATTTCATATATTGATTTGCTAAAATGGTAAGAATTTTTTACAGTTATATTCATGAGCGACATTGACCTGAGGATTTTTTTTCTTATAATACCTGAGTTTGGTTTTGATATTGTAGCATATTGCCATCATAGAAGGATTTAGGAAATCTTTTCTAGTTTTTAATCTCTGGAAGTGTTTCCATAAAATTAGCATTATTTCCTCCTTAGATATTTGATAGAATTCATCAATAAAGATACTGGGGCCCAGAGTTTTTATTGTGTGGGAAAGTTCTTCACAAATACAACTTTTTTTTTTGGAGAGTTTTTTTTTTTTTTTCCTGCTATAGGGCACATGCGCTCGCCAGAAAGACAGCAAGAGACAGAGAGATAGAAAGTGAGAAATCGCACCCCAGGGGGGATGGCCACGCTGCAATCCCCTCTCCACCATTCTATTCTCGGGATCTTGGGCTCGCACGCACAAGCACCCGGGGTGAGTTTAAGCCACCGGGTCTGGGACTCGAACAGCGGTCGGCTACGTGGGAGTTCAGTGACACAGCCATTATGCTAACTGCTGGTCCCCAAATTTAACTTTTAACATGCTATGTATTAAATAAAACTACTATTAAATTATATGGCCATTGTCTACGATTCAGGTTACCTATTTCTTCTTGAAACTACCTTCTGGTTTGGTCATTCAAAGAATTTCTCCATTGGATCAAAATTGTCAAATATATTGACATGAACTTTTTTATAATATTCTACTATGGTCATGTTCACATATCATAAAATTCACTCTTTAAAAGTATACAGTTCTGGGACCAGCAGTTAGCATAATGGCTATGTCACTGGACTCCCATGTAGTCGACCACTGTTCGAGTCTCAGACCCACTGGCTTAAACTCACACCGGGTGCGTGTGCATGCGTGCCCAAGATTCCGAGAGGAGAATGGAGGAGAAGGGGTTGCAGTGTGGCCATCCCCCTGGGGGGTGATTTCTCGCTTTCTGTCTCTCTGTCTATCTCTGTCTGGCAAGCGCACGCGCCCTATATCAAAAACCTCTCAAAAAAAAAAAAAGTATCCAGTTCTAGGATCAGCCAGGTGGCATGGTGGTTAAAGCAACTGGATACCACATGGCCAACTGAGCAGTTTGGGTCCTAGACCTAGTAGTTTGAGAAACATGCTGGGTGCATGTGTGCATGGGCCCCAAATCCTGAGAGGAGACCAAGGAGAAGGGATTGCAGCATGGCCATGCCTCCAGGGAGTGATTTCTCACTTTCCCTCTCTTTCTTTCTGTCTGTCTCTCTCTAGCAAGCACATGTGCCCTACAGCAAACTAAATAAAAAAGGGGGTGGGGTGGGGAGTATACAGTTCTAGGCTGGCTCTGTGGTACAGCAGTGATGCGCTGCTCAGAAGCAGCCAGCTCTCACATGGTGACTGTGGTTCGAATCCCCAGCCTGAATCGTCAGGCCGGTCAGCCTAGGGCACGCTGGCCTGCACATGAGTGCCCAAGGTCTGTCGAGCTAGAGAAGTGCAGGGGTCATGGCATGG